CCGCACCCCCGCTCTTGCTCTTTCACTTTCTCTTTCTCTTTCCCGTTCCCTCTGCCTCGCCCTTTTATTCTCTCATTATCTCTCTTTCTTAATTTGGTCGCAAATAAATGAGAAAATCATCCTATGTATACTGCATACATGAACGCTAATTTCTCGCGAGATTTTAATAAAACCTCTTTCTCGTTTCGCCTACTCGCCCACTCTCTTCTTTCGCTCTCTCTCTCTCTCTCTCTCTCATTCTTTCTTTCTTTCTTTCTTTCTTTCTTTCTCTCTTTCTCTCTCCTCGCAATCCTGTGCCCGATTCGACAATCATGATTGTTTGTGCTTTTTTCTTTACACGCACAAGTATGCGAACTCACTCTCACTCGTCGTTCGCTCGCTGGCTTGCTCGCTTGCTCGTTTACTTACTCTCTCTCTCTCTCTCTCTCTCTCTGTCTCTGTCTCTGTCTCTGTCTCTCTTTCTCCCTCTCCCTCTCGTAAGATACTAACATCGATCACGATTATAATTCATACCACATGTAGCTTTGGTTTTTACATGATGTACGTGTAATTTCGAACGCTTGTAGTTTGCGCGTTTATTATATAGGCCGGAAGTACAGTAGGGGACAATGGTAATCAGGAGAACTGGTTGAGAGGTACGAGAGTTCCATGCATTCAACGCAACAACGAGAGATCAAAGTTGTTCGAAAGGAATGGCGAGAGGATACTAGTTTGGACTACGACCGTTAGAATGGATAATATTTATATGATTTTTTAAAACACTCACCGTAATTTGGATCCTGATTTGCCGCGTGGATACCTGATGGTCCAGGCATCAGACCTGCAATTGCAATTTAAGGGTGTAATCACTCGCCTAATGTCGCCGGTTTGCGATCTTCGAATCGCATGGTTTTTTTGTAAGTTTAGGCGCGGGTGATGAAGAGAAGAGGGGGGGGGGAAGCGAGAATTAGAGGACATATCACTGACGTAAAAAACAGATTTGGGAGTGAAACTTGTGAACGAAGGATCAGAGTTGGAATATTGGTAAACATTATTAGGATAAAGAAGGGGTGAGTGGGAGGGCACATTATGATTCGAAAATTACCTTGCAGACCAAGTAGCGCGGCCGGAAATGTGTTGCGATGATGCTCCAGCGAGTCATTTAGAAGTTCACTAGGTTCAGTTTTTACGGAATTGAGGATGCTGTCGTTATTCGAGGTGTCTTCTTCATTATCCGACAACGAGGTCGAATCCTCACCCGTCGATTGTGCCTGGTGGGGAAAAGAAAAATTCTCGTCATTTATCTCTCCACGCACTTTTCATGAATATAATACCTATTCTCGCATTAATGGTTAAATTAAAAAGTACAACTTACTTTCGGAATACACAGGTACTACAACTATTTAATAATTATTTAAGAATTAGGTCACTCTTTTTCGCTACTATTTAAATAGTTGATTATGACAAATATCAATTATAATGTTTTTTTTTTGTTTTTGTTTTTTTGTTTTGTGTCGATTTTGATGTATTTTCCGTGTTACAATGGTAGTCAATAAACTGTAAAGATAATAATAAAACGTCGACATTTATTTGTTAATAAATGTTGTGTTAAGGAAATCGATTGTCATCAGAACGTTAAATTTATTCTTGAAATAATTATTCGTATAATTAAGAACAATTAGATATTGTTATTTCAGAAATACTAGTAACCACTATCATCGCATTATTTATTACGATGAAATACTAAGTGACGTGACTCAAGAGCAGACTTTGTTTAAGAATTATAGTTAATATTTCAATGATTGCGATATGCAATAGACATGGCGTATATTATCCAACAACAACAACAACAACAACAACAACAACAACAACAACAACAATAATAATAATAATAATAATAATAATAATACGTCCAGCGATAGCTTTGATTATCGCTCATGCACGTGGCGACGTCCAAACATAAGAAGCAATATTGATATCAAGTTGATAAAATTATAAATCTATTGAAAGCTTAAGGGAAAGAAGAAGGGGTGATGAGGGGTAACGATAATTATCGATTTCAAATGAAACATACATCCATTTTATCTGGGAATTGAAGACAGCTTTTTAAAAACTTATCGCGAAAATAGAACGTTTGCCAAGGTCAATCGTATATTTCGCGAGCAACTATACATTGGTCCTCGCGACTTACTTTTTCAACCGATAGTAGAGTCATTGAGACATACGTTATTGAAATACATACGTCTTTTGAGCACGTCTATGATAAATATATATATATATATATATATATATATATATACATATATATAATTGGAAGTAAATACAAGTTACTAATTCTCATGGTTGCATGTTGGATGATTAAAGATTGGGCAAGATTTGAGCAAGATAGACAGACGTGCGTGATAAAAATGATCCTGCAAATACGTCTTTGCAATAAGAGTATTACGAGCTGGACACTCCGGAGATTGGTTTGGCAGATTACTACAGGGAGTTAATAGCTCTAATGTGCTTCGGTAGAAACTTTGATTTTACCTAAACTTTTAGCTAAACTGAGCGATAAAGCGGAGCCTAAGGCTCAATCATCATAAGCAATACACTGAACAAGTATCTTTTTTCCTTCTTTCCGGGAATCAGTCCTCTCGATTAATGGATATGCCCCATTTATTTGCCTTAATCGTCGGGGTTTCGGCGCCAACATCCGTTTACCATAATCGCAAACGGCCTTGGATAAATGCCCGTAGCAGGGTGAAGAAACTAAACTAATCTAACGTGGCCCAGTGAAACGGACCGGGGGAGGTGGTGAGGTGGTGAGGGGGGGGGGGTGTGACGCACAAAGTCATTCAGAGATTAAGCGAGTCGAGCGCTTGTAGTACCTGAACGTTGTTGCTGGAGGTCGTGTGTATCGTCGGGCCACCCTCGAGCGCCTGTCCAAGCAGCGACTCCTGGAGATCGGACTTAGATTCAACGTGATTGCCCAGAGGCGGTGAATAGCTCCTGGATCGTTTCTCCACGGGTGGACTGAGCTCGCTGTCGTTAAGGTCGCCCCTCCCGTTATCTTGCCAAGGATTCCGCGGCGTCGCCTGCAAGCAGATCAATGATGGCCCCGTCACTTTACAATTCAGCTCTGCGACGCGAAATCGCGATCGGGGATCGACGAGCCTGGCTCCGAGGACTTACCGGCGCGCTCGCGTTGTTCCCACTGGAGGTGGCGGAGGCCGTCGGTATTTTGGCCGCGGCGCCGCTGTTGACGTCCGCGAGGCCGCGCACCTGCAGCATCTGGGCCGTCTTGAGGAAGGCCGCCAGCTGCTCCTGGCCGACGTGCACCTCCCCGTGATACATGAAGCGTAGCAGGGACTCCATGTCCGAGCTCGCGACGTCCCTCAGTATGACGATTGGATGCTGGCATGGATTTGCCTGTAAGCATCAACGGGACAACGTGTTTGGTTCATTATTTTATTTTTCGTAATGCCGGCCAATCAATAGTCGCCAGCTCGGCTTCGCTCTCCTCATCACTCTTTCGTCGCTCGAACGAGCTTGTTTATTAAGAGCCGTCATAGCCTTATATAAGAATGATAGTGCGGGAATAACCGCATTCGCGTCAATATTTGAATCGTAGTTGTAGCCCGAGAATCGTCGGATTGTTTATTACCCCCCGCCCCCCTCTTTTTTTTATTTTTTTTTATTTTTTTTTTTCATTCCCCTATTGAATATCAAGGTGGAGGATGCAAGTTTTAATTGAAACGAACTTCCAAGTAAAACAAAACTTGATTAGTTCAAAACTTATCGGAAATTAAATACACGCAAAGAGAAACAATAAAAACATTGCTAAAGCAATATCGGTTTAATTGAGCTTTTTAATACGTTATTTTATTGATTGTACTTGTAAAATTTTTTTGCTTGAGAATACAAATTGAATTTTGTGTCTAAGACTTTTCGAGTCGTGCAAGTTTCGTATGTATTATTAGCCATTCTATCTATTAATTATATTCAAAGACTCGAATTTTGCTGAATCGAGACGTTAATTATTTACGAAACTAATTATTAATTAATCATTGTTCGTCGTAATGTAACGGCTTGGCACCACCCAATCGCTTATTACAGAAAAAGTAGTGGATGAAAGTATTAGCGATTCAAGTATCATGATCTTCATTCATACGCATACATCATTAGCGATCAATAATCAATCAGCCAAAAAAAAAAAATATGGACCGTCGACTCGACCAATAATAATTCTATTAATTGGCAGGCTATTAATATTCGAAAAGAACTTTAGAGAAAATTATTGTTTAAATACATTGATTACCAATTGACAAAATGACAAAATACACGTAAACACGTAAACGCGCGCGCGCGCATAGTCTCTCTCTCTCTCTCTCTCTCTCTCTCTCTCTCTATCCATTTAAATATTCTAAAGTAGAGTGAATAATTAGTCATTTCCAAATTTTTCACCAAACTCGCTCTCGCATTCCTTATTCTCTCGTTAAAATGATGAAAAAACCAAATGATCAGCGAATAAGAATATCGGTGGTACCTGTTCAATTACGAACGAACGTTAAACGAAACACACGCAACGATGACGTATGCCGAAACTCTCAATACAAACACCTTGGAGCTATCGTAATTTTGATTATCTTTTTAACGAATTCGTAATTTAAGAGAAAAATAAACGACCGCTTCGCTCAAAACAATCAAATGAAATAATTTTAAAAAGTTGTCACTAAAAGACAAAAGTTATCCCGCACTCGGTCTACCTCGCTAAATATTTCGTATTGGGCCCGACCTCTTGAGCATCGGTTCATCCCGTACGGCCTTATCGATCGATTATCTCAGGGTCGAGCGATTCGTTAACGGCATTAATCGCACTCGCTATTCCACGGAGCGCGAGCAACGGCTGAATAGTCGTCGCTTAGTTTGAAATCGTTTCGCAGCTGGAGGCGCGTCGCTAATTGGAATAACTGGAATAATCGGAATCCCCGTCAGCTGAGTGACGATAGTAAGCGACTACGGCGAGTCTCAATCGTAAAACATCATTTTCACAATAAGCCACGGAGTTTTATTATCGTCTACCCGTACCGACTCGTGAATATTCCTATAGAAGGGCGACCGAATGCGAGACTACCGGCCTCGCTCAATCGGCTGATTAGAAAAATGTCGGCCACTCGCTTATGCCAGGCGATGTTGACCCAACCATTACGGACAGGTGCTCCTCCTCTATTCCATCCTCGTCGTCGGGCTAAATATTACGTCGGCAGCCCGGCATAAAGGCCCAACGTCAATTAAAAAGACTCGAAAGATTCGAGATTCGCGCGGCCGTAATTCAAGCGCCCGGCAACTTTCCTAACTTGGACGTCCCGTCCTTCGATTACTCACGAGCGTTACCCACTCCCAGGCGGCTTCGCGATCCTCGCCAATGCCAGCCTCCACCCTGACTCGAGTGCAAAGACGCGTTGAGACGAGGCGGGACCTGCTTCACCTCGACGCGCGCCTCTTATCTCGGCCGTCGTCTATAATGCCAAAACGACCATAATGGAATTTGAAGATATGGATTAGAAAGCGATCGAGAGAGCGAAAGAGAGAAAGACAGAGAGAAAGAGAGAGACAGAGAGAGAGAGACAGAGAGAGAGAGAGAGAGAGTAATACAGAGAGAGAGAGAGTAATACAGAGCGATACAGAGACAGTGATAGAGACAGTCATAGAGACAGATATAAAGACAGAGACAAGGATCGTGACTGAAAGTGAGAGAGAGACAGACAGAGAGAGAGAGAGAGATACAGAGAGATCATAGCAGGCCGCTTATTGGATTTTCGAATGTCGGTGGAAGGGAAAAGCCGGCGACGAAAAAAGAGGCGCGCGCGCGCGAGCGTGCGGGCGCTGCTCCGTAAGTAGAAAAGTAGATATACGACTGCATGGTTTCTGATCCGGTTATGCATCGGCGGTGCACTCATGGCTTCGCTTTCCGTGTGTCCCATGCGATCGTGTGCGTGCCAGAGTGCCGACGGCGACGAGGCGCGTTAAGCAAGTGAGTATGTGTACTTGGCTCTACGCCCCCCCCCCCACCACCCCGACCCCTATTCGCTGCCGCACCACAGCACCTTTTATTCTCTCGACAATCGATGGCCTAGCTGCCTCGCCTTTCTTGCCCACGCGAAATTCCACGACACTTTCTCTTTTCGTAGCGATCTCGCGCTGATAAATCGCTGACGCTTTTTCAATAATTCCGTTTGCCGTACGGCTGAAGAAAGCTCGGCGTAATGACGCTTTTGTTGGCGCGATTTTCCACCTCCCACCGCTCACCCCGTTCTATTATTTAATAAGCTTTGCGCGCTCGCGCTCGCAATCGCATCGCCGAATGGCTTTTGGCCAGCATGGGAGAGCGCCAATACGTTCGGATGATATCGCAAAATTATGGGCGCCGACACCCCATTAATGTAACTCCCATTGATCGTACTGCGATTGTTATGTTAGGCACGTCCTCTCGAACTTTCGTCTATTATCGTTAATTAATGTACAGCCCGCCCCCCGTCTCCACAATCACCTAATAAAATCTCCCGTGTGCCTTACCTACTCTTACACGTCGAATTATCCTTAAGCAATAATTTAATAATCGCATTGACATATTTGCATCTATCTCGCCGTATATTATGAATGGTTAGGCCATGCATTATACGAGCCCGATTAAGCCGGTTTAAGCCACTACGGTAGAGCGAATACTGGACATTCGTTATCGAGACGGTTGACCGGGGATATCCAGCGTATTCTTAAGTAACGGTTATTTTTTTTTGTATTGTATGGTGTTTTTTTTTTTTGTTTTTTTTTTTTTTTTGGGTTTTTTTTTTTTTTTTTTTTTTTTTTTTTTTTTTTTTTTGTTCTTTTCCCGACTTGTAATCGCGCTTGAGGAGCGCCGTCGCCTTGTAAAATAAGCACTAGACGACTACGTATTTTATTACAGAAGCAAATGGCTAACGAAAATAGTCCCTGCGCCTCTCAATTAAAGGTCATAAGAAAGTGGGATGAGGGCGAGGGGCAGAAGGGCGAGGTAGGGTGGTAGGGAGAGCAGAGTGGGAGAGTCGAGGGTTTTAAAAATCTTAAAAATAAATTAATTCGTAGAGGAGTGGAGTGCGGGAGAATGCGACGAGAATAGTGAGTCCGTCCCTACATCCTCCTTTCCATTCGGCTTCCATTATCGGCGCTTGTAAGCCGCTCGAGCAAGGATCGTTTTCCGAGTGCAAGAATCACCGAGGAATTAAGGTTCGGTTTCCTCAGCCGACTCGTTGCTCGAGGATGACGAGTGTGGGCGGCTGCTCCCGACTATACAATCAAGCGTGCACGGAGGTGCAAGCCTTCTCTCGGTCCCCTTCCCCGTCAGGCCCCCGCCCCGGCCAGCCCCGCTCTCGCACTCGCACTCTTTTTCAATCTTTCGTTCTCTCTCTCTCTCTCTCTCTCTCCCTCCCTCTTTGTCTCTCACCCCGTCTATCTCTATCTCTCATCATACCCGCGCGTAGTCGAGCCGCTTAGCGTGTAAAAATACAATTCGGCAGAAGCTAGTGTATAAGCCGGGCTGAGAGTAGGACGAATAAAGAGAGAGGGTCGCATCGGTTTTCCAGACAGTCAGTACACAGGAATGCGCAAGCGGCAACGACGCACTTCCGTTGATAAAAATACACGGTTTCGCGCTCGCGGTGTAATGTGTCTCGGTGCACGCGAGCGCACAAAGCGCAATAATAGCTCTCACGGGCCGTCTCGCGACGCCCTCGGCCCCAGGCATCACGCTCTCTCATTCTCTCTCTCTCTCTCTCTCTCTCTCACTCTCTCACTCTCTCACTCTCTCACTCTCTCACTCTCTTGAGGCGGTCGTTAGTTATATGTCACGTGTGCCCTCCTCTCGTTCGGTCCTCCCTGCCCCCGCCACGCCTCTGCGGGTACTTCATCGCGAACCTACGCGCGAATGCAGATTTTCGAATATCGTTTCGTTCCGCTCCTCGGCTGCACTCTACCTACGCGCCTAACGCAACCTAACGAACACGTAGGTGCTCCTCGGCGTCGATAAAGCGCCCTACGACATCCGGATGCGAGCTTTTGCCAGGCCAAGCGATTGCGAGAGTCCGCCATTGTGCGCCACTTTAATGAGCCGTTAAGGAAAATTCGTTAATCGGCACGCACGCAATCGTAATAAACAGCCCGACTCAATGGCAATATTTCTTTTTTTTTTTTTTTTTCATGATGCCGATTTTGCGCAACGCGCCACTACGTAATTACGTATTATGTGCCCACGCGTCGATCCAGCGCCATTATTCCCCTTGGCACTTTCTTCTACGTCTACACCAATTTTTTCCCTTAGCATTATTATTGCACGGCTAATGGTGAGAGTGAGAAAAGAGAGAGAGAGAGAGAGATATTGCGCGGCTCATGGTGAG